TCTCCCTCTAGTGGCAGGAACGTTTATTACACCTGAGACACAGAGTCCATGTTTATTTTTCGCGTTCAGCTTTCAGGACTAGGATAACATTTTCTTTATAATACTATCGGTTTTAAATACTGTTATAGCCAATTGTAGGAAAATCTTAAATATGAAAACGTACATGCAGCCATTCTCATTGGTACTTATGGTTTAACCTTTAACGCTTCAATATTCCATGGTTTTATGCACAATGGCGTCACGGCTATCAGTAAAAGGATGCGTCACGCCTCTTAAACTAAATTATTGTCTTCATTAGGGCTCGAAATTACGGCTCCAGTTTTTTGGCATTAACATATTTTTCTCATGGGTTATTTGTTAAATTTCCCCGTTATTGAAAACTTTTTATCAGTTTAATACGTTTATGGGACTTCATTTTTTAGATATATACCGTTATCAATGTTCAATTGGGCATAAAATCGATTGAGTTTGTATACCGTATACAAACTTTAGAAGGTCGTTGTGACGTCAGAGTCGAACAGCTGTACAGGTCCTAGTGAGGTTACAGGGGATGTTTAAATGTTCTACTTTATTTATACACGTGACTAAAAGGATAAGACACTGATATACAATTAAATGTTTATTGCGGAAAGACAACCAGTATTGACATGCTAAAATGTTTTAAATACCAGGATGAAAACTACTGCAACCACTGGTTCGATGCAGCTTATAATGGTAGAGCAATAAAGTTCACGATATAAATAATATTTCCGCGGTGCCTGAGACCAACATTTGGCATATTAACTGTGCAGGAAAAAAGCATCTCCAACTAAAACCTCAGTGGGTTCATGTTTTTTAGCGCAGGAAGTTCGGACCAAACCTCAGACCTCTCAGCAGCCAATCAGCGACAGCTTCGCAGCACAGGTGGGCGGGGCTCTAAAACCAGTGCTTCGGCTGTGATCTTAGTGTATATTCATTAAATACTAGCCTTTCCACAAAGGGTTTGGCCATATCAGCTTTCATGCTATTCAACAATGCAGAGGCCAGTTTACACTGATAAAGAGGAGAAACCTTTATTTTTTTAAAGACCATTAAAATAAATACTATACAGAATCCAATGTAGAAAACTTGATACCGGTTCGGTCTCAAAAGGTTAACAATTCCGTAAATTCATTTTAAAAAATAGCACTGACTACACACCTCAAAACATGACGGTTCTCCTACACACCAAACCCCATGATGACAGGCATTTTAATGAGCGCTTAAAGAGAAGGGGGGGTCTCTATATACTTCATCTGTAGTTTGGTCCTTTCATATGAGCTCAGACTGCACCCCACACCAAACATTTTGGCGAGGGAAGTTACAAAAACACTCCGCCACAATATCAGAAAAACGCCAACAAAAAAATCAAGTGTCAAAAAATAAAATCTAAATGAACAATAACTCGAAGATGAATATGGAACGCGCTTGTCAGGGTCGAGAGGCAAAGTCCCCACAGCACTCACCGTTGTTTTTGCCTCCAAACATCTGATGCCACCAGTCTTCAACTGAATGCTACTTGCCCAAATGACTACAAGTCAAGCAGTTTGTACAATAGCAATTAAAATATATATGTGAAACAGCAGTAAAGGATCGAAACGGTAAACCACTCAATCATGTTGGATTTTACTATATAGGTCTTTTTATTGAATATGCCCCGTGTACTCTAGCCCCAAAACCTTTTCTTAACATGATCATGGATACGAGTAAAAAGGCGCTTTTCAGTACACCGAAGGTTGTTTAAATACTGATCTGGTCAAATGCAGCACTTCCCATTCCATTAAGATCATTTTTGTGTTAAGGCCAAACTGAACTGCAGCCTAACCTAACGTCACCAGGCAGTGCAGACCTGGTGACGGTGCGAGGTGCAAATCACAGCCATATTGACCAAAAGTGTCGATGACTGTCAGAATGTTATCAATTGAGCCGGGTTGTTATTAATGTTAAGATTTTTCTAACAGCAAGAGCCAAAATACTTTTGATCATCAACTTGTTTAGGAGTTTTAATGTGCTTTTGTAAACGCGGTTATGTTTTTGCATGTCTGGGACCCGGTTACAAACTGATTTGGATGATGTTTTTGTCCTCAGTTTGCAAAAATATATTTTATTCAATGCTTTTAAGGTTTATACGCGGGACTAGCTGCAGAAAATAATTGAGGTGCCAATATTAGGTAATGGACTATGGCAAGCAGATGAGGCAGGTCAGTAATTCATCCTTCCAAAACGACCGATAACTTTTTCAAAGGTTAGGAAGGAATAATGGCCACATTCTTCCTTTCCTTAGAATGTAGAGGGTAAAGTCATTGTGGAATTTAGCAAAAGGAAGTTCTCAGAATTCAGATCGTATAAGAAACAAGGTTTGACTGCTAAAATAAGTGGAGGGGGTGGCAAAGGGCGCATGGAGTAGTCTAGATAAGGTCGGCCACATTCATGGGCATCTCCTCGACGGTGGTGTTGTAGAATGTCTCAATGTCCCTCAGGGTTCGCTTGTCGTCCTCAGTCACCATGTTGATGGCTACACCCTTTCTGCCAAAACGACCACCGCGACCAATCCTGAATAGAAAATAATAAGATCAGTTTAAATTGAAACAATACAAGAGCATGGGGCTGATCTAAACAGTCAAAAAAGTGCATTTGAAAGACCCATGTCAATGTTATTTAATGTGCACTGCTTGTTCCTTCTCACCTGTGGATGTAGTTCTCCCTGTTGGTCGGCAGGTCGTAGTTGATGACTAGGGACACCTGCTGAACATCAATACCTCTGGCCTGAGGAGAAACATAGTGAGCATTAATTACAAGCTATAGATAAAAGGAGTAGACATGACTGCGGTCAAGGGCCAACTTTACACTGTATAAAAATCACTACTTTTGGTAGAGGTTAAAGAAGTATTGCTTTAACTGAACTACTGCCAGGTAAACACGTGTTCAATCAAAATTAAGTGCACAAAATGATTAGACATACAATCTAAACATTGAAAGACAAAAGGGATGTATTCCGCCAATTAGTTGTGAGTCAAGGACTAGAGCCCAGCTACAGTGGAGGGCAGAAAGCTTCTCTACCAAGGAACATTCAGTCCCACTCCATCACTGCAGATGGGAGGAGAGGGAACCCTGGACAGCACAGAACTCTGATTTAAAGCAAACCTGAATTTGTAAAGAGAAAAGGTCTGTGCATTTATTGTACATACCAGCAGGTCAGTGGTGATCAGGACTCGACTGGAGCCAGAGCGGAACTCCCTCATAATCAAGTCTCTCTCTTTCTGGTCCATGTCACCGTGCTGAAAGAAATCAGGGACATCAGTAAGACAGACAATGAAAAGACATGAACCAGCAACATGGCATGAAGATTCCAATCGGGAGCACAATTGACTTTTTTTCACAGGACAAATAACTTGTGTTGGTTAGAATGCAAGTAGTCCAAATGATTAGACATACAATGCAAACATTGAAAGACAAAAGGGATGTATTCCGCCAATTAGTTGTGAGTCAAGGACTAGAGCCCAGCTACAGTGGAGGGCAGAACGCTTCTCTACCAAGGAACATTCAGTCCCACTCCATCACTGCAGATGGGAGGAGAGGGAACCCTGGACAGCACACCCGTATATCCGGGTGTTTTGATGTGGATAAGTGGATGATCTTACCAGAGCAGACACAGTGAAGTCTCTGGCATGCATCTTCTCAGTCAGCCAGTCCACTTTCCTCCTTGTGTTGATGAAGATGACCGCTTGTGTGATGGTCAGGGTTTCGTACAGGTCACACAGTGTGTCCAGCTTCCATTCCTGAGAAACAACCGCAAGGTCAGACACAGCCAAACTGAAAAATCATTTTCTTTTAGGACCCTCATGGTAGTTTAGTCATGCGGGATTATGCTTGTACATTTGTTTACACTAGCTGACGACTCTTTTGAGCGTGATGGCTGCTGTATTCAGAAGTGAAGTAAGATCATGTCTCTGGATCCCTGCTGCATTGAGCACTCAGGCCAACAAAACGCCAACCTGAGTTACAATACAGCATGAGGAAACAGAGTCAGCTGACACGCATGGTTATCATCATTATACAGCAGGTCTTCTGAGTGTTTGTAGGTGCCGCCATGTGTTACGTTTGAGTTCAGACATTCTAGTAAGCGAGCGCAATATAAATAGACCGACTAGTTCAAATTAAAAGGGAAGTCCGTTTGATAACCTCCACACTTTACTTTCAGTGACATTTAGGAGTCAAATATTTGTCTAAAAAATAAATAGATTAACATTTCTCCCTCATTTTCTTAGAATGCTGACGAAAAGCGATAAATGAAACGTTTCTTCACCTCTTTCTCCACATTGATGTAGAACTGACGGATACCCTCAAGGGTCAGCTCTTCCTTCTTCACCAGGATTCTGATGGGTTCACGCATGAACTTCTTTGTGACCTCCAAGACATCAGCTGGCATGGTGGCCGACAGTAGGACAACCTGAAACCGGACGAGAGAAACGGGTTAAAACCGGAATGAAAACAAAAAACTGATCAATATAGCCCATCTAAACATTAAAGACAAAAGGGATGTATTCCGCCAATTAGTTGTGAGTCAAGGACTAGAGCCCAGCTACAGTGGAGGGCAGAACGCTTCTCTACCAAGGAACATTCAGTCCCACTCCATCACTGCAGACGGGAGGAGAGGGAACCCTGGACAGCACAGAACTCTGATTTAAAGCAAACCTGACACTGTCTCTGGTAAACTACAGGAATAATTCAAAGCTCTCACCTGTGTGCTGCTTGCCAGTTTCTGGAAAATCTCATAGATCTGGTCCTTGAACCCTCTACTAAGCATCTCGTCGGCCTCATCCAGAACAAACATTTTGATGTACTTGGCAGCTGCAAGGAAATGCAAATTAAATAAATAAACCAGAATGAACACGTTGTATGCAGTCTTATTTGAATGTTTCAGGTCTGATGCAAGAAAACATGCGGGATGGGTTTGATTAGTCGCAGGCAAAAACAGGAGCTGTATTCAGAAGTGAAGTATGATCACGTCTCTGAATCTCTGCTGTGCCGAGGGCTTAGGCCAGCAAAACGCCAACCTGAGCCACAGCACAGCAGCAGGAAACAAGAGTCAGCTGACACGCATGGGTTTCATCATTATACAGCAGGAATTCTGATAAACCAATTGATCTTCCACCTTTTAATTAATTTAAGCATATGCAGCATGCGACTACAGTTGACTGTCTAAGGACAGGTGTCATACTAACATTTCAGTCAAATAAAGACAGATCAGCACCGTAACACAATTGTTTCCTGTATGACTTACAGAGGTTTTTGCGACTCAACATGTCGAAGACGCGGCCGGGGGTTCCCACCACAATGTGAGGGGCTTCAGCTTGCAGTTTCTGCACTTCATTGCGAATGTTGGTCCCTCCGATACAGGCGTAGCAACTGGCTCCCATGTAGTCGCCCAAGGCCAGAACCACCTTCTGGATCTAAATATGGGCAAATAAAGTATTTTAATGGCCATCAAATGAATAGTAAATGTGAATAAATGTCAACAATGGCAGTATGCTGGATGGAGGTAAAACTAGTTTTATATTTGCCACGGAAGTACATTCAAAAATATTTAGGTTGAAGACCAAGACCCAGGTAAGGCTAAGTATAATGACTGTAATATGTATCATGTATACATTATTGTGCAATGTTTTGAGAAGGTCCCCATGAAGTAAATGTCATTAATTGTTATAGTCAGCATCTGGTGCCGAGTGCTGTAACAGCAGGGCATTTCATTTTAAACCAAAAACACATAGCTTCAGTGACTTCAGGTACAAGTGCTATTAGTTCCTTCTTTTAGGACCCTCATGGCAGTTTAGTCATGCAGATCTATTTGTTTACACTAGCTGATGACTCTTTTGAGCGTGATGGCTGCTGTATTCAGAAGTGAAGTAAGATCATGTCTCTGGATCCCTGCTGCATTGAGCACCCAGGCTAACAAAACGCCAACCTGAGTTACAATACAGCATGAGGAAACAGAGTCAGCTGACACGCATGGTTATCATCATTATACAGCAGGTCTTCTGAGTGTTTATAGGTGTTAAGCAGCCAGTAACTCTTGAACGCAAACGGCACTAATTAGTCTTTGTATTCGATCCGCTTCATTCGTCTATGAAACCAGCTCCCAAAAGAATCAAGTCTTTCAAATTAAAACTTCATTGCACATCTCTTTTTATTAGCTAAATGTAACTGTGTGCAAGCTTACCTGCTGAGCCAGCTCCCTGGTGGGAGCCAGGACCAGAGCCTGAGTGCCTTTCAGCTCCACATCAATCTGCTGGAGGATGGAGATGGCAAAGGTGGCAGTCTTCCCAGTGCCAGATTGGGCCTGAGCGATCACATCGTAACCTTAAAACAAAAACAAAGATATCAAACCACTGTTGTGTACACACAGAAAAACTACTTTTAAAATAACTTAGACAAACCCTTTAGTTAGAAACTAATGGATGCAAATAAAAAGTTATACAGACTTTGGCACAAGTGAAGAATTCCCTTTTATGAATGAGATGTTGGAACAATATCCGCTAGGGCTGTCAAGCATTACTGTCAGCCGGCACAAAAAAACACATCCCTACAAAGCTGGAATATTTTGTCTAGACTGGAAAGTCAGAGTACACAGGCCTAATGTTTATAAAAGAAAGAAACATTGAACAACAAAATGTTGAACAAGGAAAGAACAAGCCTTACTTACCCTTGATACAAGGCATAATGGCTCTCTGCTGGATAGCAGAGGGCTTCTCAAAACCATAGGCATAGATTCCTCTGAGGAGAGCCTCACGCAGAGCCATCTCATCGAAACTGTCCGTGATCTCGGTCCAGTTGCTCTGGAAGGGATAAGACAAACACAATATTAATCATGGAGTCAAGTGTACAGAACATGAAAAAGGGTTTGCTTACAATTATGTATAATCAGTTTGTACCATGCACCTGTATGGTAGTTTCAGCGTATTTAAGTCTTATAGTGGCCTATTAGTGCACTCACCTCGATGACCCCATCGGGCTCCATTCCTTCCGGGCCATTCTCTCTGTGAACGAGAAAACAATAAAGTTTGTTAAGCCTTGCAAACTTGAATCGTACAACACATTTTAACATAAAATTATTTTAATTAAATATTGTCAATTGAAACAATGGAAAATGTGGAGTCATGTTATAAATGTGACTGCATTGATTAAGACATGGCTTTAAAAGAAAATTCCCTTTTAAAGCCAATTATGGTCTCCACCCTTTTCCACCACCAGATTACACAATACACATTCTCCAGGCAATCAGACGATTGTGTTCCATAGTCACGCACACTTCTACCGACTAATTGCGACACATTTATTTTCTGTGCCGATAGATTATTTCTCTAAAACACAATGTTCGGCTAAATCCTCGTGCGTGTACGCAAACGCCTTTTCTCCAGTCCGCCATTTCTACTGCATTCACTCAAGATGGTCGTTTCTACTGTCGGGCTGAAAAAGTCGGAAGCCAGTCGACAGGAATGACGGCCTAACCAAGTAGAATAGCATTGTAGCTTTAAAAAAACCCGACATATTTTAGACTTTAACTTACTACAATTAACGATTGTTTGAAACAAAATTGTTCCAATGTCAAATTTGCTATTGGAAAGAATAAAAGGCTCGGTTACCTCTAACAGGGCCGCAATAGCCACTGCCAACAGGCCCTGCGCCTCTTTATGTGGCCTTTTAATAACTCGTAGCCAGTGAAACCCCTCTAATGTGCTTTTGCCCACACAAACAATGCATTTGTTTCACGAAGCTAACGCATATCACCTCGTTAGCATATGCTAACGGCATTAACCGGCCTACGCTACCGGCATTGTGCGCATCCCCTCGATTAGCGCTGCGCGGCCATGTGCGCCCGTCGTATGAACTGAACAAATCTCTTTACATTTACTGCGTTAACTACGAGATACGTTCACTATGTTAACACAAGCCGTTCATTACACCGTACTAATGTAAAATGTGTTAGTTATCATAATAGTGGAAACGGAAGCTTCTGGAATAGAAATTGAGGCCTAGACCAGACGCACTCACGTGCTACGCAAGGCGCCGGTTGCCATTTAATTTGCTTCAGCGACGTTCAGGACCAACAGCAAAAGCCATTATTAGTACCACCAAATAAACGTGACACGATTTACGGGGTAAAATAAACATATTGAACGTAAAATAGTGAGTTTTAACTCGAGTCGTCATATTGTTTTATTAAATATGAAGAGCTGTGACGTTAGTCCGAGGCAGGCTATCGTTAGGCCTAACCGTTGCCGAGCAAATAAACCGTAAGATGCTCCGTTTAACGTCTACATTCCACATAGTCGTCGATAAGAAAGACTAACACACCTACGATAACAGATTAATCGTACTCTAAATCGTGAAATGCACACAAAAACATAAAATCGTTTCCTTACCTATTGTCATATTCAGCCGACATTATTCCAAAGAAAGAAACTGCGGCAGAGATGTGTTATATACGTTGACAACACACAAAGGGGCCTTCTCATTGCAACAGATCCCCGTCACTTAGCTATAAGCCCGCCCACGGACACTTTTGATTGGTTCAATTTTACGTCACATAGGGGTAGGCGGGTCGTAACGTCTTTAGTGGCGCATGATTTTCTCGGCGTTAGCAGGCCAGAGGGGCGGTGTTTATATGTTGCGAAAAACTGTATGGGGCAAATCAAGCTGCTTCTCCCGCGATACGCTGTAGAACAAAGTTAAGGTTCCCCATTCCTAGACCAGCCATTCGTCAACGCAGACAGAAGGCCGTACCTAGGGTAGAATTATTTTTGTTTTCATCTGAACCATATTTCCTTACAAATAAGTGACAAATCTTATGACCACTGATATATGATGCAAAGTGTGAAACTGTATGAGTCACAGTGTACTCATGTGTAGCATATTTAACACAACATGGAAAAAAGCTGGACTTATGGTGTATGACTCATGCTGTCTGCAATAAGTATTTTATAGAATATGTCCCTAGATACAGTTGTTTATAGTTGTAATTTATAGCATAATGAATGCCAATTCATGTTTGGCATGTATTGTGAATATGACCAGAACCAGGCTTTCAGGAATACTCAGTTCAAACTGTCCTTAACATGGACTGTTTATATAAGGGTCCATAGCAACATTATAGGCAAAATAAAAAACAAATGTGAATAATATCTTTGCTCATTGTAACTTGTTATAATAAAGATTACATGTTCAGAGTACTGAATGATAAGTGTGATCTTAAGAACAGAATTTGAGTAATAGACTTCATTTGATACGACCATTTGTTTTTGTTTTGGCCCATAAAGAAATTCCTTGTATGTTATAACATACTGCAATACTACTGGATTTTGAATATGACGCCTATTTATTAGCATTAATAAAATGCACAGTCCAATTTTTGCCGCATATTTTTATTTTTAGCAACAATAATGCATTGTAGAAGATATATAAAACGTTCAACTCTGATGCATCATCTCCTGTTTGGAAAAACAAAAGAAAAACAGACACACCGCTATCAACAAAATCTTTCTTTCGTTATAAAAAAAAAAAAGAGGAGGGTGCTGTAACTCCATTGTGAACATACTGAATCTGTTGTGTCGCTGTCGTGGTCCTCACCAAAATGGCTGTCAAACTTTCTAAGAAATACTAACCAGAGGATCAGTTTTGTATTTACTTGGAAAATAACCTATTAGTAGTCCTCCTTTTTAACACCATTTGTTTAAAGCAATAAGCATATCAACACATTTACTGACAGATAAAACACAGAAAAAGATAAATGCAATGTAAAGATGCCCCTTTCTCAGGGCCAATATGTCATTCTGGCTTGTATGGGCAACGATGCGGAAGTCTCCCACATTAAAGATGTTTTATTTAGGGTTGAGTGATGGCAGGGCAATTTTCCAGCACATGGGTTGAAATGTGGGCTGTTCCATGGATGTCAATTCTGATTTCCTTAAAAAAAAAAAAATGCACTAGAGTAGCTCTTCATATGCTGTTTTCGGACATCAATATGGCAGCATCAGTTAGCAAGTTCCATTGTCTCTTGGATTCAACTAAACATCGGAAATGTTACGCTGCATTACAAACACTATGTGCTGACTAGATGGATAG